GGCTCCACAAGTATAATTATAACGTAACATAGACTATATCGATATAAAGGATATTGTCACATCTTATATCTCGTATGAAAATATATCGATATTTTTTTTAAAAACTCGATATATCGCCCAGCCCTATCAGCAGTTATCCTATCCTATAGACAGGCATTCTACTCTATTTTACAATGGTAAGCAACATTTTGATGTTTAGTGGTATTGTACCATCCCCTGATTTGACTGGATGAGCTCCATCAGGTCATCTTGACTGTGTCTACATGTCTAAATGAGTTGCTGCCTTGCAAAACCAATTACTTTCCATAGAAATACTTCACAAGTAAGCAATGCTTAAATTGTACTTATATTACAATAGTGATAAAAGTGTGTCTGAAGGTTCTCAGTCATCGTAGTCTAAGGAGCTTGGAAAGAAAAGTGTCTGGACTTCTTTAAGTTGCTTGAACACGTTTCACCTCTCATCCGAGAAGCTTCTGGGCCAGGATGTAAAGGACAAAGGTCACTCTTTCAAGGATGCCAATGTTCACATTTTGGAAATAGAAGACAGATGGTTTGAAAGAGGAGTGAAAGAAGCCATCTATGTCCACTGTGCCCACTCACATCCTGGGCTATTTGACCTCAGGAAATGATAGGGTGGGGCTAGGTTTCACAATGAGCTCACCCGAAACCTTGGCTGATTGTGACCTACACCCGCTTTCACACCTTGGTTTGTGTGATTAGGTAGAGGATCATTAGGGGGTCTCCAAAAGTTGATTCTGTTCATCTGGACGTAGCGTTTAGCGGGAGAAACGTTTCGTCACTCATCCAAGTGACTTCTTCAGTCTCAGCTGACTGCAGGTTTCCCCAATCTTATAAACAGTACATTTGTATAATGACTGAAACCAGCCCACTGAAGGAACAATAGGCTGGGAGGTCAGTTCCTTAATCTTAATTATGCAAATTCTCCTGACCATTGATCATTTGGGGGTTTCATTGTCCCTCTTGTGGACACTCCCACAGGGCTTAAATCTGGGACTCTCCACCATTTGACCCTAGAACTGAAGAAGCTTCTCAGATGAGAGGTGAAACGTGTTCAAGCAACTTAAAGAAGTCCAGACACTTTTCTTTCCAAGCTCCTTAGACAGTGATAAAAGTGTATTAAAGAAAACTTAATGAACAGAAAGACCATAACAAGTGGAAACGTTGCTACTGCTACTACTGCTGGACCTTGAGGAACCAAAAAGAAGAGCTTACCCTAAATCGTTTTAGTGACACAAAAGCGTCGGTGAGCGCCTTCACAGCAACCGGCATGACAGCAAAGGTGAACCTCATGGAGGCGAAGATGGCAACAACAGTAAAAGCCTGGGAAGAAAATATTGCACTATAATCTCACAACACAACCAAAAACCCTCAATTTATATGTTAGACCTTTTCGGTCAGTAGACCAAGCCTTCTTACAAAATTCTCGCAGTTTTCTTCTCAGTTCATCTCTACTAACAACTTCTCCAAATCACCAAGTGGAAACGCTAACAGAGGCTGTGTTACTGCATAATATTGTTACAGAGCTGTGCTACTTACATCAGATGTTTTCAGTGGCAACCCCAACAAAGTGTGGATGAGAAGGGTGAAAACAGTGGCAATGGTGTTGATGGCCATGTTCAAGTTGCCATTAATACTCTGGATTTCAAGGATTTTCTGTACTAGTTTCTTTTCAAGTTTCCTCAACTCTGTAAGAAAGATCGTTTGCCTTGTCTGTTACTTTCATCATTCTTTGTAGACGCACCCAAACATACATCCAAAGCACTCAAACATTTCATTCAATGCAATTGTTAAGTCATTAACTACTAGACACATTAAGAACCTTCTGATACATGCCGATATGCTTGAATGTTGAATGGAGACACCTTTATATTCATTTGTGATCTATATAGGGATCATTACACAGGGAACCCTTCTGTGTAGGTGTGTTGCTTTAGATGTAAGAGCTTCACACTTAACTCACATCACCTCTTTTGCATCTAGTAACAAGATTACATGCCTGATTTTGTATCTAAACAAATGGGAGTCTATAAATAATGCATGTGATATGCAATATTACTAGATAAATGGAAAGTGCTGCCAAATGGGAATCAGCTGCTCGACTTACCTACAATTTTCATCTCAAAAGAATCTTCCCAGGCATACATCTTGATTAGCTTAATGCTGTTGAGAATCTCAGTCATTGCATGAACACGTTTGTCTTTTATTACCATTGCTTTTGTCTTGAATACATTTGTGAGATGTGCCAAGAGATGCTAGAAAAGAAGAAGAAGAAAACATTAGTCCCCTGATTGCCAAGATTCCAACAGTAGAAGGTAAGGGTATTTCTCAATGATGACTTAGACCTCACAGCACAGGTTTCAGCATGCCCAATATTATGTTTGGGCAAATTCTTTCATAGTTTATCTACATTACAACTTTTTTTTACATTTCAACATTGACTATAATGCTTACCTCAATCAATTTTTGCATTTATCTCACTTTATTAACTTCATGTACATACTTGAATGAGAATACAGATGATGCAGATGAGGACTCCAATAATTGCGGTGTAGCCCAGAATGTTCCAGGCATAACAAGTGCCCGCAACAAGGAGTACAGGGGTGGACATCACAAAGCTCCCATTCACAACTGCCTCAAAAACCGTGTGTCCAACATTGGTCAAAATATTAAGAATCTAGATTAAAGAAAAAATGAGAAAACAAAAGCTTATATTTCACCCGTTTTTCATAATACACCAAATGTGAGATGTACTGAAAAAGTATCTTATTTTCTCATGCATTTCTTTTGGATCAAACAAATCTTAATATTAGACAAAAATTACCAAAATAAATACAAAGTGTTTAAATTGTGCTTCAATTTATGAAGGTAAAGTTCTCCAAATGTACCTGTCCATACATGAAAAAGTGAAAAGTGATAGGTGGTTGTGCCACCCTTGAGAGGAAGAACTGCAATCAAACATTTGTAATAATGGGAATGAGTCTTTCACATCACTGAAGGAATTTTGGCCCACTCTTCTCAACAGAATTGTTGCAATTCAGCCACATTGGAGGATTTTCAAGCACGAAAGACTTATTGATGCCAACGCATCTCAGTTAGATTCAAGTCTAGACTTTGACTAGGCCACTTTTCACAGCAGTGCAGGTAAAGTGAATTCTCTGTGTGTGTAAACCAGTCTTTACCTCTCCGTTTGACATGTCGCCAAGTACTTGCAGAGATGTGACTTTCTGGAAGCCCAAAGAGCATAAGGCACCTTTCAGTCTGATGGCCGTACGCAGTGTTAATGCCCACTGCAAGGATATCATGGAAGTTTTGAGCAACTCTGTGGTGAACAAAGCAAAGGCCAAACCAACACCACTGGTTTCTCCTGGGTCGCAAACGTAGTCCAAGATCTTATAAACGACGACCGCCTGAAGGGACAGAAAATGCTTGATACGCTTCAGAGAGTAGAAATTCTAAAAAAAAATGCAATTAGAAACTGTTTACAGAGTATGAACCACTATTTCTTGAAGTCAAATTTGATTTATAATAAAAAAAACATTTAGGCAAACATCAGAAGGTCACAAAGTCTGAAAATACAGATGACGACAACCCACCGGCCCCAAAAAGGCCGCCACCATGGCAAGAATGGAGACGAGGGTGGACAGAATCAGTCTAGTTCTTTGAAAACGAAGAGTCACCCGAATCAGTGAGGCATTCTCCAAGCCTCTCCTTGCCACTTCTTCATTCCATAGCCTCTGGAGCCTGCAGAACACTCACAATCAAATCATGTACACTAAAAATGGTCTAGCATTTAATTTTGACAAGTCAGCCTCGTTCCTTTGACTTATCTTCAAGATGCAAATTTCAGCAGCTACATTAACCTCCTAGGACCTGGCACCACATATGTGGACTTCACATTTTGGGTTATTTAGACCAAAATACTCAATTTTGCCCCTCAAGGGCCTGATATCCACTTACGAGGACATTATACTGCTACCGTTCTATTGAAATTTTAAACAAATATCCTCATGTGGCTCTTATTTTTCATAAAAACAAAAATAAGGTTAAAAAAATAATAATAATAAAAAAAAATCTGGTAATTCTTTGTTTTTACATTCATTGGGGCCCAATATGCCCAAATATCAAAGAAATTAAAAATGCATTCCGTGGAAGAGTTCGGGTCTTAGGAGGTTAATGGTGCGTCATGTCCCAAGCAGACCTACTGTGGGTTTCTGTCTATTCCGCTTAATAATTCTAATAAAGCCCTTTCTTTGTTCCTTGTTGTGCATCATCTCTTTCGTCTGAGGTTTCTTTCCCACATGCTTGTTTACCCCCTTTGTAAACAAAATGCATCATCCATTGAAATGTTAGATTCTGCAAATGCCTTAAACAACAACCAAAAAATGTGAATCTGCAAAGAGAGACCTTTTTGCGTTAATGTCTGCTACATCAAAAGGAGACAGGTGTAGGTCGGATGTATCCAGCTCATTCTTGAACATGGCCCACATTTTGGGGATCATCCACAGAAAGACTGAAAATGATATTAAACCTGCATTATCTACAGCGTGGGACCTGGACAAGACAAAAAGAAAAGAAAAAGCAAATGAGTACTGTACAAGGAAGACATTCTATATCAAAGAAAGTAACTTTTATTTGGCAGACAGGTTACATTTAGCAATTTCTCTTTCATCAATGAAACTGACTCTGGTGAGGAACAGCGGAAGGGTATAAGGGTCTGCATGCTCCGTCGGTATTTTCCAAATGGGCAAGGATGGGGTATTTCCCTGATGTCATTATCTGTATCATCTGAGGCAAGAGACAAAGCACTCAAATGGATCTCATCTTCTCCCTACAGAGTCAGAAAAACAAAGACAGACAGAAAGGTGTATAAGCTCAGTCCAAGTAACAAATCTGGAAACAAACAAACAGGAAAAAAAACAAACATCTAAACTAACAATTAATTGTACTTCCTAATTACAATTTTAGTAGATATGGAAACATGATCAGAAAACATAAAACTAACTACCTTGTCATGTCCTAAACAACCAAAATTAATCAAACTGACACAAGTGAAATTATTTAAACATTTTCCAAGCAGAGAAAAAAGTGAATACCTATTTTTATTTATACTACATGCAAATCAAACAGCTCTTCATCATGTTATTCCGCCATGCTCTCCTTTTCTTTGATTTAATTTTTGTCCCTTTATTTATTTATTTATTTATTTAAATGCAAGCAGCCCTTCCCCGGCGACGTAAGCAAAACCCAGAGAACTTTACAGCATATGGAGCTACCAACTTGTGAGGAATAAGAGGCTGCTCAGGTCGATGACACGTAGTACACCAGATTTCTCAGTTTACTGGTGTTCAATGTTCCCTCTAATTTTTCATGTGTCTGAGCGAACACACAAACTCCCTGAGCGATCCCTTGGACCACTGTGAGCGACATCAGACGTGTGCACTGTGGTCACGCCAGCATCTAATCCATCCAAGTTACATGGTTTATTAAAATCATCAAATTACAGCATTTACATTTATGTTAGACTACTTTTAAACACCTTTAGCCCATTTACAATGAAAATGTAAAAAGAAATCTAGTCATTGGCCTGTATAGTATGTTAACACTATTGGAAGTAAAAATAACTTGAACTCCAATTTCAAAAATACAACTTTCTTTTTTTTTTTTTTATAAAGCTGACTTGTATTATGAGTACGAGTCTGTGGTCTGGGAGAGAGTCCTGTAACTCTGTCTGCAAAATACAGTATATAATGACCAATGTTGGGCAAATAATTATACAGTTACTCCTCAAATAAGTAACTGAGTTATGCAAACAACAAAGTTTTTTGCAGCTTTTTTTTTTTTTTTTTTTTTTTTTTTTTTAAATGCAGCCAATGCATTTTTAAATAAACATTTCAAACTATTTACAGAACAATAAGCTGTTCTGCACCAAAGTTGATGCCACACAAATTATTTGTGCCACTCCAAAAAATGTTCTGTCCACTATGAGATAAAGGAGAACATCACAAGCCTGATACCTGCAGGCGTGACAACAGGAGATGTATCACTCCTGTAATATTCAGCAGTCGCCTCATTGTTCTGACACACACAACAAATCTATTGACTACACTACACACGATTTGCGCTAAACGTCTCAAATCTTTCACATCTCAAAACACCACCGTCACTCCTAAAACTTCCCCCATTACAACTCCGGTGTCGGCACATAAGGACGCTATCATAGCCTGTCAACGACGTTGATTGGCTGCGTATATACGAATCCCAGATAGCAAGGAGACATTGAACAGATGTTGATTTTCCATCTGAACCATCAGAATCGTCAGGATTGAAATGTCAACACAAAAACAATGTTGAAACAACATTGAAATACTGATGAAACCTGACACTGACATTGAAATAACATTGATTCACTGTTGTTCTGTCATCGTTGATTGTTGATCTATTTATAGTTGACAAGGTGACAACAATCACGTTGAAAAACCATTGATTTATGGTTGAGTGGGAAATTAAAGCTGCTACCACTTGGACTATTCCATAGCACCCCTATCATATTGGTACATCCCTCCAGGTAACCATTGTGTCGTACAGTAGAGCGGGACATTAGATTTACTCTCAGCGGACTGCTGGCACGCACAGCTTAGAAGGAACATTGCTGGTGGTTTTTCAACGTGATTGTTGTCACCTTGTCAACTATAAATAGATCAACAATCAACGATGACAGAACAACAGTGAATCAATGTTATTTCAATGTCAGTGTCAGGTTTCATCAGTATTTCAATGTTGTTTCAACATTGGTTTTGTGTTGACATTTCAATCCTGACGATTCTGATGGTTCAGATGGAAAATCAACATCTGTTCAATGGCTCCTTGCTATCTGGGTAGTTTTTGGTTTGTGTGAGTATGGCCCCCATCTACATCGCTCAGCTCGGTGTTGTGCCAAAACACCGGGCCTGTTCTAAAAACCAAGCTCAGCGCTCCCAAAACGTCTTGTCATTACGCGGCTTCACTAAAACCACCAACTTTCAGGAAGTTGGTTCACGACTCGGCAAATCAACGCAGGTTTTCTCAATTTAGCCGCGAGCACGTTCACACAAAGGGGGTCGCTGCTGGCAGTATATAACCAATCATGAACAGGGACAGGATCAGAGAACTTTGAGAAAATTAGAATTACAGGCCCGCAGATTAAAAGCACTAGTTGCTGCAAAAAATACAAGTACACCCCGATCATGCACATTTCCAGCGATTTTAAATACCATTAAGGAACTTCTCGAAGCCGCTGTCCTGGCAATAAAGCACTAGTAAGTGTAATTACAGGAACAACTCCATTATTTATATTTATTCTTGCAATTTTTCCTTATGCAATGGATGTTTAGTTTCAATATTCCAACAAAGAAATTCCTCAAGCTGCGGCCTTTCTGTTGTAAGCAACAGGTTGTCTACAAGACTTCAGTGCGCTTTTAGGGTCATGCTCGTGCAAAAATCAAAGGTATAACACGGTCTCTCAAGACCTCTTACCCCATACACAACCAAGTCCGCAGGACGCTCCACACGTGCCGACGCCATCTTCCGTGAGAGGTGATTGGTCTGTAGGCGGCGCTTTTATACTAATTGATCGATCTGCAGAGGAGGTTTGGTAATAAGGCTACCTTATCTATGAGCTACGTGGTCTTTAAAGCTATGTAGTCTTTTGCAACAGACAAGTGACTCTGGGAGGGATGTATCATCAGCTTGTTATATTTGCCAGTCTTGTTGATATTAGGCAGGAGAATAGTCAGATTTTTAAAACAGTAACTAGTAAGGAAAAAGGATTATTCTAAGTTTGGATTGACTGATCAGGATAGAATAATCCCTGAGGACTGGTCATGGATGGATGCCATCAAATGAAACCTAGATGTGAGACGACAAGTGCGGCTTACCATGACTCAAGTCCAGCCATAAAGAAAAGAAATAACTTCTTTATTATTAACATGGTATCTGAAGGGTCAGTACATTGCTGTTTGTGTAATGAAAATACAACTGCAAGTCCAAAACAAGGTCTGTAAAAAGTCTGTAAATAACCGCGTATATATGCACAATTCTACATGATTTTTTTTTTTTTCCCTTTTGTTGTTTGAATTTTGTGGGATTAAAACATTGTCCGGAAAGCATTTCTCATTCATTGTATAAAATGTAGACATGACAAATAGGTGACAGTAAAAAATGCTGTTACTACATTTGTCCAGCAGATGGCAACCTTCGCTTAGCAACAAAAAAGTAATAACCACAGAGGGCCACTTGCAACTCTTCACTATCCTGTATGGCACTATACTTTGCATGTTTTATAAAACCCTGAGAATAATAATTTAAAAAAATACAAATATATGCAAAAATATACAAAAGTCATTCACTTCTAGACATGAAAGTTATCCAAGATGCTTTTCTTTCCATCACTAGTGCCCAAGCCAAGTCTTCCTCACCAGCTTGACTGTGTTAAGTGAATACTGTTTCTGTCCATGTATTGCAAATATTTCCATCCACCAGACAGATTTCAGGTATCACTCAGATAGAACAACAAAGTGACACAAAGGCAAGCTGCTGGATGTCTGCAGGCTGACATGATGACTATAACAAGTTGACAGTTATCTGAGCAGTCTATTTTGAGCAGACAGGCACACCTGCAGGTTATTGCTCTAGGTATTTCAGCAATAGAAATCCAGCCCATGCTTGTGCTGCTGCTGCTGGGAGGATGTAGTGATCTCATCTGGAGCATGAGCAGGCCAACTGTGGAGGTCCCCAGTGAGTTTGGAATCCAAAAGAGTCTCCCTCATCTGTTGGTTCTCCCTTGTTGCTGCCTCCCACACCACCTCCAGCTCTTCCTCTATCTCCCTGCAGGTGCGAAGAGAGGAGACAAGAAAATGAGTCAGACGATCCATTTGTCCATCATTCTACATATTTGATAAGTTACAGTGTTGTGAAATAGCAATAAAGTTACACAATACCAACTGGACCTGTGTAAACTGAATTTACACCCCTTGGCAGCTAAAGTGGGTACACAGGTCTGATCACTCCCACCCCTGCTCAATCAAATCATCACCATTTTTAGAAACATGGATTTGGTTTACATTTGTCAGGAGCAGGAGGAATCTGAATTTTGTCACAACACACCTAGATGATCTTCAGATTTTCATAG